CTTCTGGTGCCGTTTTCGCTGTCCTTAGCTAGACATTAATGATAATAACGTATCTTGTCCAGATGTCCCTTTGAGGCTGAGACACTGGTCCAGACACACACATGCATATAAAACTTTTCCATAGGTGTTTTTACATCTGTTTTAATTTCCCCCTTGCTCTTCTTTTTTTATTCTGCCCTTGTTGAAAGCTACATACAAGGTGTTCCTGCAAGATGTAGAGTGCAGCTGCAAGAGAGGAGGTGGTGGTGATGGGTGCCTGCAGGGCCAGGCTGTGGCTAACACAGGGTCTCTCCTGTTTGCCAGGGTGAAGATGGGAGCCACTGCTGCTCCTCACTGGATTGCGCTGCCCAGGGCCCAGAGGAAGGTGGGGACACGGGCCATGGCAGCAGCAAGCTTGCCTACACCATCACAGATGTGCCCCCCTGGTACCTGTGCATCCTGCTGGGCATTCAGGTGGGACGGGGGAGCAGGTGGAGACTGGGGGTGGGTGGAAGTTTAATGGCTGTTCAGCTCGTTAATGGGGGTGAAAGCTGAACTTGGGAGTGCTTCACCTTCACTGGGCATGAAAGGAGCTGTAGGGCTGGATCCCGAACTCAAGTCCTTCCCACCACCCGCTGAACACCGACTGTTATCCTTGTGCCCACAGTTACACCATGCCCCTTGAAGTGCAAATGGGAAGGCAGAGTCCCGGTGCTGAGGCCAAATAGTTAATAAGAACAGGTCAGACACCTCAGCTGAAGGCAGCCAAATGTCTAAGGGCTTCTGAACTTCTGCCTTCCCACAGCAATAAAAACTAAGCAGAAGGGCCAACAGTGCTTTGGCTGGAGTCTGTGCCCAGGCGTGTTAAATAACCCAATGCCACCAATGCCATGCTGGGTACGGAGCCTCAGGGAAGAGAGAGCTTGGTGGGCATTTTGTACTTTGTTTCCTTAAACGGTCATCTCAAATTTAGAGTGTATTAAACCAAGGTTTTCTGAACACATCTGCATCATAATTTTAATAAAACATGCTGCTAATGAGCACAGTGAGCTTCTGAGTGCCACTAGTTCCACCACTGCAGTCCTGTGCTCCAAGGTGAGAACTAACAACTGAGGTTAATATTTAAAGCAAAATTAAGTTTGAAGAATTATTTTCACATTTAGTAATTAACTGAAGGGCATTGTAGAAATAAGTCTGTGACTCTTCTGAAAAATACAATACCTGATTTTTCCATTCTTTGGCATCCTTTTTTTTATGCTAATCCATAATTGCACTGTGTGAGAAAAGCTACTGATAGGAAAGAATGGGTAGCTCCAATTTGCCAACTTTTTATGTTATCCTTTGTGGTGCACATGAGATGGACTGAAACATTTGCACTCACTTTGCCTGATTCCTCTCTCCCCCTACCTTGGGATGTCCCCACCTTCCTGGAAGAGTAGTCCTGACAGCTTTGTGTGCAGGCGCTGGGGATAATATGTTTGTGTCTGACAGTGGTCTGGGGAGTCCAGAGCACTACAAAAGGTCTTTGGGCATGAAAGCAGGAGAAGTTTGGGGGAATGCATTGCAGTTCTTGTAGGTGCTTTGGAACTGCCCCTAACAGAGCATTCAAGTTGCCAAAAAAGAGAATGGGTAATACTGGTACCGGCTCAAACACAAATCTGTGAGTTACTTTTAGATTTCCCTCAACAACACGGTAATAATATACAGCCAGTTCTGTGTCCTTCTTCACCCAGTCTTTCTCTGTGGCTCCTAGCATTTCCTGACAGCCATGGGAGGTCTCGTAGCCATCCCGTTGATCCTCTCCAAAGAGCTTTGCCTCCAACACGACCTCCTCACCCAGAGCCACCTGATCAGCACCATCTTCTTTGTCTCAGGGATTTGCACCCTGCTGCAAGTCCTCTTTGGAGTCAGGTAGGCCAAATGCAAGAAATGGGACATGTGACAAAACAGTTTGTAGATGCAATTACTACGTGCTCAGCCACCAGTCTGCTGTAGAGTTTATCTATTCAGTGAGGGTCATTTGGTACCTTTGGGCAATCAGGACACACGCCAGAGCATCCTGAAGTCACAGTAGGTGATACTTTGCAGGGCTACCTCACTGTTCTGACTTTTGCATCTCCTGGTACTTGATGCACCTTTCTTTGGGCTTATAAGGAAACTGTCCTGCAAAATAATAAAGCACTGAAACATGCAGTAAGCAGTATCTGCTTGCTCCTTATCCCAGCGATCCTCCAGCTGAGGCAGGACCGTTCTGATCTGGGCCCAGGATCAAGGGAGCACAGAGCCTGTAGGAAACTCTGGGGGATAACTGGGAGAAATCAGAGCCCATCTGCCACCCCTTAGGGACTCAGGCAGGAACTCTGCAGCATATCTTGTTAAGCTGTACCACTTCCCGTGCTCAGGGATTCGTGGCACAATCTGAATGTAAGCAAGGTAAATCCTCTTGCCACTGAGCTGTTGAAGAGCCGGTGGTGAGGACATGAGCATGGAGTTGCCATTCACTACCCAGAAAATGAAGTACTTAAAGAGACATGACTGCAAGCACTCCCCCTTGCCACAAAGACCCTGCATCTTTGCTGGCCTTGCAAAATTTCTTTTATTCCCCTTGTCCTAACTCTGGGCTGCCTCTCTCTTTTCACAGGCTGTTTTTTCCTCCGATATGGTGGGAACCCATGTTTCTTGTTTCAAAGGCAAAAATGACACATTCTTTGGCTTCCAAATCTGAGGGACCTGGTTAAAACTCTTCTACCATCAAATCACTGGTCAACTGCCAGCTCCACAAAATGTTTTTTACTCCTCCTGTTTCTTTCCCCAGTGCAACTTTTCCATCTCTGTCTGTCTTAAGAAAGTGGCTGTGGGTAAACCTCTTCCCAGAGGGTGGTCCCCTTCTACTACATTGCTACAGGATTAGTGGAGGCGGGGGGGACGCCCTGGCCACGAAAAAGAGAGAATCTGGTTCTTCTCAGTTTGGTTAAATTCAGGCTGGGGTGCATGACTGTGGCTGAAGCTGCTGGTGCAATTCAGGCTGGAGTCCTCCCAGGCACCCCCCAAATGCCTCAGTGAATACCTGAGAGCTGTGACATTTCCTCCTCGCTGTTAGGCAAGGATGAAAGAGTAGCAGGGAGCCTCTCCCATGGCTGAATAGCTAAATGAGGTACAACAGATCAAATTAAGTGGTAATGAGTTGTTCCCGCAGGATAAGCTTGAATGTCTTTTGCTGTGCTGAGGATGCAGTTGCCTTGTTGCTGGCCCCAACTATAATGTGTGAGGACATTCCTGCCAGAAAGGTGGGACTCAGCCTGTGGTGTGGCCGGAGGCAAACCAAGACTGAGGAGACAGTTGGAAGCAGATTATTTTTTTTCCTTTTACTGTTTTCTCAAATGCTGTAGTAGTTGATAACCATGAGTCCCCAAAAGACAGCCAGAAAAATGGTGAATAATGAGTTGGAGGGGATGCTTTTCCCTGGAAAACATCCATGACACTCTCCAAGGCCCTGGGGAGCACTCAGCTAAGCGCTCTGCACAGTTCCCGGTGTCTATATTTAAGAAAGACTAATTCAGAGGAGAGGTATGGAAATGATCTGTTAATGTGGCACAGGGACAGGGAAGGGAGACCATTCATCTTACAGAGGCTGGCCTGGTTAGCCTGGCAAAGTGGCAGCTCAGAGGGATACAGCTGCAGCCTGAACTAGTCTGGGAGAGAAATGGGGGCAGGCAGGGAGAAACCATTTTGGCTAAAAGACAATGTTGGCACATGAATAAATGGATGGGAACTGGCCATGGAGATGGGGAGGTTCCCACCAAGAGTGAATGTGGTTCAGGAGCAGCCCTCCAGAAGCAGTAGCCAAGGGAAAAGCCCGACGCACTGCAACCTGCAGCTCGTTTGTGTTACACAGCGTGAAAAAGCAGTGACAGGTCCCAGATGGTCACTGGACAGACTATCCAAGAGGCTCCTGAGGGGAGACACAGGTCGCTTGCCATTACCGTAAGCCCCCCTTAGCAGATACTTGGACATCGTGTAGTGATGATCAGAGCATAACTTTTCCTTCTCTAAACTACAGCTTTCCCTGGAAAGAGCTCGGCATGCCCCATATGCATCACCTCAGCACTCCAGTTTGCTCTGAGCCCACCCATGCCAGCACCATCTGTGAAATAGCTTGAGGGCCAACGCAGCAGGAGCTATAAATCTATTGTTAATTCAACAGTGGTGGCACTGGGCCTTCTCTGTTTCTTTTTGCTTGTTTTTTGCCTTGCCCAGCAAAATCCTTTGAAGGCTGCAACATGTTTGGCTGAATGCCGTAAATAAGCGACTCCACGGATGACTGATACTCAAACATAACTTCCTGGCAAAGCACTGACAGTGCTTTGGTTGTGCGTGGCATGAGTAATTGTAGTGGTATAAATATTTGCTTTAGGTGACAGGGACGTGGTGCTGTTACAGCTATACTGTCTCTTATTTTCTGGTGCTTTCCAGAGAATGGTGGAAACGCTTCTGGTTCAGGGAAATCTGTGCCCTGCCAAAGCACTCACCTGGCTTGCTGCCCTGCTGCTTTTCTGAGCAGGCACCATAAGGGCTCCTTGGTGCAAGGAGAGGTTGCTCTGGGGGCTGCTCCCAGGGGCAATTTCTAAATGGAGGAAGCCGAGGCACCTCAGAGGTTTCCCTCAGCTTGTTCAGAGCTGCAGTGCCAGCCCGTGCCCTCGGGCAGCTTTGGGTTTTTCTAGCACACTAGAGGAATGGCCCAAACAACTTGCACTGCAACGGGGGCTTAATGCCTGCGGTGGCTTCTCTGTGTCCATTTCTCCCTGTGTGGAAGGAGAAGAGGCTGGCGTTGCTCACAGGAGCACTGGCTTTGCTGTACAAAGCTCTGTATGAAGCCAGTGCTGAGTGCCTCTGGAGGTGCGAGCTCCTTGCTAGCCTGAGGGGTTTCCAGAGTGAGGGTTACTCTAAGCCAGGAGACACAAAGCGTGTGGGGAGAGCCAAGGTCTCACCCAGCCGGTGCGCTCAGACCCATCCATGCAGGTCTCCTTTCCAGTGTCAGTGGTAACAGGGCAGAATCATTAGCTTTAAAAAACTGTACTAAAAGCCAAGTCACATTTTCCACTGCCCTCAGTCTGAAGATGGTTGTGACATGGGGATTAGCCAGGGCACGTCCTTGTGTTCATAAGCAGGTTGTGAAGAAAACTGAGGCAGCTGCAGGGGACAGAGGAAGCAGCCAGATATTGGATAGATTTGGGCCTAGGTTGATGCTAAGCTTTTCTTCAGTCTTGCCATTTTTCTTCCTTGGTCTTTTCCCCTTCTCCAGCTTTTTCCTTTGGTTATTGTTTTACTCTGTGCAGCTCTAGTAACACCTTAGGAGGAACACATTTTCGTTAATGTGGGGTAGCAGAGTTTGACTCCAACACCAATGAGCCTCCCCATTGGCAGTGTTTGAACATGACCTCTTCCCCCCGGGTACGTTGCTCTTGAGTGCAATGGGCAGCAATGCCCACCTGTGGTCAGTGATGGAGACCTGCCAGAACATTTCAAAAGAAAACAAGGCCCTGCACAGACTGATTTTTAAATTTCTTTCGCTTTCCTTTCACTGACCCCTATGGAGCTGGGTTTCTAGCATTCTTGCTCGTCATCTTTTGCCTCTGCTTCCCTTCCAGGTTGCCTATTATTCAAGGAGGCACTTTTGCATTCCTGACCCCAACCCTGGCCATGCTGTCTCTCCCCAAGTGGAAGTGCCCTGCCTGGACGCAGAACGCTACCCTGGTGAATGCCTCTTCACCAGAGTTCATCGAAGTCTGGCAGACACGGATGCGAGAGGTATATTACATTTTCCATGGCACCTGCTGTGTATCAGGGCTGTTTGCTTTCAGAAAAGCACCTGACCATGGCAGAGCCATCAGTGCTGGAGAACCCACCATCCCCAATGGACCTTGGCCTTAACCTGTTGCAGCTTCCTAAGCATCTAGTCTCCATTAGGAAAGCAGATGCTTTGCTGCTCCTGAACAGGGGACATGCAGACCTCAGGTGATTTATGGTCCCTGCAAAGTCCCCACTGGTCCAGCCAGATCCTTTCTCCATGAGGTGTGGTTAGGCTTGAGGAAGGAAGGGAGGGAAGATGTTTCCAAGGAAAAGTGCCTGTCTAAGCACAGGAAACCTAGTAAAAAGAAATGCAAGGGCAGAGCTTACTGTAAATATGAAGGAAAAGTGCATTCTTAGGTAGTCAAAAAAGAGGAGGAAAGGTCAGGGATCTCAGTTTCTTGTCCTACATCTATTGACTTATCAAAGTAGGTGGCTAAATTTGCCTCTGTCAATCCATACATTAGGGTGCTTTGCAAAGCACACAGGAAGCGTGAGCTTGCAAAGGATTTGCTGTGCAGCACAGGCTGCCCTCCCTACTGAGACTTGTAAATCTGCCACAAGGGCAGTGCTGTCTTCTCCTTTCAGGCTGGGTGCTTCACCCCAGCCCCTTTGTTTCTCTTCCCTTTGAAGCCAGGGGAGGGAAGGTGCTGCGCACTGCAGAGGACCGAGCCTGGGTTTATCACCATATTTGCAGCGAAGGGCGATTCAGGATGCAATCACTGGCTACCTAGCAGTGACTGTCCAACACAGGAATGTTCAGGGTGATAAATGTGTCCCCGGAGGTAAACCGATACTCAGAAAAAAACAGAGGCTGTAATGACCCACCTGCCCTATCAGTGTGCTGAAATGCCCCAAGACCTTCCCAGATGGGACATGAGTGGAGACCATGACCCTGCCCCCATTTTGGGGACAAGAACTTTTCATCTGCATTTTGGGGGAGCTGGAAGAGAGAGTGCAGGGAAGCTGATGCATGCTTGGGTGGCCCAAGAAGCCAGGGAGGAGGTGGTCTCTGGAACAAAATTAGCCCTGGTGAGGACTAAATCCATCAGCCAAGGGGGGAGTGGGTGTGTTGGTACTTTGGTGGTCCTTCCTGACACGTAATGCTCAGCCAGGCTTTGCTGTAGTCAGCAGGACGCCCCTGTGGCGGGAAGCCTCTGTGCTGGTCCGTCACTGGAGGCTGAGCTTGGCTTTCACACTGGTTTTGCACTGACTTATGAAGAAAAGGCTCAACAGCTGGAGCTCCTTTCAACCTCTGTTCTCTTCCTCCATTTTTCCAGGTGCAAGGAGCTATCATTGTAGCTTCCTGCTTTCAAATCTTCATTGGATTTTCTGGCCTGATCGGATTTCTGATGAGGTTCATCGGCCCCCTGACAATTGCCCCCACCATCACCTTGGTTGCGCTACCTCTCTTTGACTCAGCTGGGGACGAGGCTGGGCAGCACTGGGGCATAGCATTCATGTAAGTCTCACTTCCCTGTGGGAAAGTTGAGCGTACACAAACCTCCTGCCGCTAATTTGAAATCAAGCGTTGCAGTCTGTAGCAGGGTTCCCCTGGGTTTGAGATTTATTTGTTGAGCACTAACATGTGGCAGACTTGTGCAAGACAGCAGTGTGGCATAGTCGTGTCCCCCCCCAGGAGGTTAAAGCCCTCAGCAGCAAAGCAAAACCCAAAAACAAGTTTAAAAAAATTATTTTTGTGAAAATCCAAAGTTCATAGGTCAGTAGAGAAACAAGTTTTTCTAGTGTGTGGTTCCTGGAGACAGTTTCCGTCACAGTTGTCTATGCACTGTCTTACGCACCCATCATTTAAGTTAAAAAAACAAATGACAAAGTTGAGCACTCAGAGTTAGGTATTCCTTGAGTTAAAATAGCTGGTGCTTTATGTGTTGTTTTCACATGAGGAGGAGGAATTGTTTTCTCCACAGAGGGCCTGGGAGGCTCTGGAAATGTCTGTGCATGTGGCTTTGCAGTATTAAGTGCTGTTTCAAGGATTTTTGTATGCATGCCCTTGTGCCTGAGTGTATGCGCGCTTGGTGGCAGGATTTCTTTGGCATTTCAGAAACAAATCCAAAAAGTAGAAATGCCACTGCACCTGCACCTTCAGGTCCCTAATGCAGACTTCAGCTTGGGATAACATGCAACAGGAGTAGGTTGTTCGCCTCTCTATGGGCTCCCATGAGTTTGCTAGTGCTTTCAGAGCTGCCCTTAGAGACTCTGGGGCCAGGCTTGACTGCAGCCCGAAGAAGGCAGCATGCTGTGCTCCAGTCCACCTCTGGTTCTCTTCTCCTCCCTGCACCTGCCCTCCCAGGCCCCAAAAGCCACCTCTTTTCTCCACCTCCAGTTACTCACTTAACTGGTTTCTTCCCCCCACACCCCATACGACCCCAAGCCCTGCCTGCCCACAGCTTTCCTTTCACCGTTGTTTCTCCCACCACATCTCCGGCTTGTTGTCTTGTTCTTCAGCTCTGATGATTTGTCCTAGCCCCTTTACTTAGCCAGTCTGAATTTTCACTTCAAAATGTATATCCTTATCTGGACTATCTCTGTTTTCTGCCTTCTTTCTCCAGCCAGTGGCTCCCAACCTCAGTCCCTTGCTTGACCTCTTTGCCCAACAGTGCTGCTCCAGCCCTCCAGCCTGTGTCCCTGTTCTCAATCCTGGTCACTCTTTCTGTGCTGTTCATTTCTGTACCATTTTCTACCCGTACTAATCTCAGTCCTTTCTTCCATGACTCAAACACTTTAGCCCCAACCTGATCATTGTGCTTTGAGCTGTCTGAGTTTGCGTCCTCTTTTTCTGCCTCCATGCTCCATGGGTGCCATTAGGGAAAGGGGGAGAGTGGTGATGGAGAAGACAGAATACATGAGCCGTGTGGTCTCAGCCTTGCTATCCAGCCCCATCACAGCCCAGAGCCCCCATGACAGGCAATACCTGCTGTTGCCTCAAGAAAGTGGTCTAGTGCATGCTCACTTGCTCCCTGGTGATGGTGCATCACTGGACAAGGCCTGGATGTACTCAGAAAGCTCAGAATCTTTATGAGCTGCAAATACTAAAGCCTGAGATGTTTCTGCTGACTGCTTGGGACCTGGGATGAATGATTGTTGTTACAGACTGATCATAGTTGAGCAAATTTTTGTGAGAAAGAGCAATATCCCTCACCCCAAAGAACAAGTTCTACTAAATCTCAAATTTCTGCTCCAGGTCATAAGCAGACCTTGCTACTGCTCAAGAAAAAAAGAGCTTCTCAACGCAGGCTGTATAGTATGTCTATTTCCTGAACATCACTCTTTGAAATAGGTTTGGGATATATTTTTCCAGAAATATTTGGCCTGAGAGACATGTTTTCCATGGAAATTTTCATCCTGAATGGGTAAATTTAGGCAGAATTATAAGCAGCTGAAAATAGCATTTGTTAATGGAATGTGTCAGGCAACCTGAATAATAAGCAGTGACACCTACCCGAGATAGACGAGGGCTCTGCAGTGATTCATAAGGCTGCCGAGCACCTTTGTTAATGCAAATGCACAAAATGTACACTGACGCATTCTGTCTGGGCTCTGTAGCTTTAGAAACCACAAATGGAAAATAGTTCCTCCTCAGACTTTCTGTCTCCAGTCATTCAGTGCTTTGAATCGTGATTGATAGATAACCTTTGGCTGTATGTCGTGGCATGTCTTCACAGACAGGTGAGGTTAGCATTTCCTTTACCCTGCTGGTATTCTGCCTGCCTGTGAATATTGCACCTATAGCTCATCACCTTTTCACACATGGAAAACTACCAGTTTTCTGTGCACTGTCAGTGCACTTCAGCTAGTGCAATTGATTTCTCACCAAATCCTATCTGGATTAATTCACTCAATGTACACAATTCAGATTTGTTATAAAAAAATGAGGAGCCCTTCAGAGGCCTGATTAACATAGGAAGAAGATGTCCAAGGTCTTCTACTAGCTCATCAGTCAAGGTGGGGTGCCTGGTCCCTGCCCTCTCAACCGTATTGCAGCCTCCAGCTGAATCTGGTTGCCCTTTCTGGGGGGAAGACACAGCAGGGATGGACAGGGCTTGCTGTGAGTGCACCCAGCTGTGCTGCCATTTGCAGGAGATATGTACTACACGAGGGATGGGAGAGGAACTGCACCTCGTGGTTGCTTCCACCAGAATGAGCCTCGGGTGCTGCCAGGGGCACACGTGAGCACCCCTGCCTTGGAGGACCCCTCCGCCGCGCAGCCCTCGCAGACTGGAGGGCCGTGCTTTCCCCTTCTCGGCTGGCCGGGAGGGCTCTGTGGGCACTACGTGCAGCCCCATAGTCCCATCATGGTTTTTTCTTTCAAAACAGGGACTCGCACAACCAAATCAAATCCTCTTTCTTTTCTCTGTGCTATGTAGGAGCTTTTTGCCACTTGCAGAGCAGCACAGGTAAACCTGAAATCAGGAAACCAATAAATGCTGTATTTCATAGAATCATAGAATCATAGAATGCTTTGAGTTGGAAGGGACTTTTAGAGGTCATCTAGCCCAACCCCCCTGCAGTGAGCAGGGACAGCTTTAACCAGATCAGGTTGCTCAGAGCCCCGTCCAACCTGACCTTGAATGTTGCCAGGGACGGGGCCTCTGCCACCTCTCTGGGCAACCTGTTCCAGTGCCTCACCACCCTCACTGTAAACACTTTCTTCCTTGTATCTAGTCTAAATCTATTCTTCTTTAGTTTAAATCCATTATTCCTTGTCCTGTCACAACAGGCCTTGTTAATAAGATTCTCCCCATCTTTCCTGTAGGCCCCCTTTAAGTACTGAAAGGTTGCAATAAGGTCTCCTCACAGCCTTCTCTTCTCCAGGCTGAACAACCCCAGGTCTCTCAGCCTGGCCTCATAGGAGAGGTGCTCCAGCCTTTGGATAATTTTGGTGGACCTCTTCTGGACCCGCTACAGCAGGTCCATGTCCTTCTTGTGCTGAGGGCTCCAGAGCCGGACGCAGTACTCCAGGTGAGGTCTCACCAGAGCAGAGCAGAGGGGCAGAATCACCTCCGTCGCCCCGCTGGCCACACTGCTTTTGATGCAGCCCAGGATACAGTTGGCTTTCTGGGCTGCAAGCGCACATTGCCGGCTCATGTCCAGCTTTTCATCCCCCAGTACCCCCAAGTCCTTCTCTGCTGGGCTGCTCTCAATCTCTTCATTCCTCAACCTGTACTGATACCGGGGGTTGCCCTGTCCCAGGTGCA